CTTGAGCCCAGGAGTTGGAGGTTGCTGTGAGCTGTGAAGCCACGGCACTCTACCCAGGGGGATAGCTTGAGGCTCTGTCTCAAAAAAATAAAAATAAAAATAAAAAATAAATAAATAAATAAATAAAGTAGAAATAGGGTCTCATTATGTTGCTAATGCTAGTCTTGGATCCCTAACCTCAAGCCATTCTCCTGCCTCAGCCTCCCAAAGTGGTGGGACTACAGACCTGAGCCACTGTCCTTGGCCTCTCAATTTTGTATTCATGTATGTTTCAACTTCAGCTCAATTATCCTATCCAATTTTTCCAAATCCTGGGTCCTCCCACTGTAGGTCTCTGTCCTCACATTTGCCTCCTTCGAGCCATGTTCTTTCTTCTACCTTCCCCTGTTCACTTCTCCCTTTGAGCAATATGAATGTTGCTCAGGGGTCACTAAGCACAGATCTCTGATTTGGGGACCTTTTTTATTTTGAGACAGAGTCTCATTTGTCGCCCTTGGTAGAGTGCCATGGCATCATAGCTCATAGAAACCTCCAGCTCTTGGGCTCAAGCGATTCTCTTGCCTCAGCCTCCCGAGTAGCTGGTACTACAGGCACCTACCACAATGCCTGGCTATTTTTTTTTTAGAGATGGGGTCTTGCTCTTGCTCAGGCTGGTCTCAAACCAGTGAGCTCAGGCAATCCACCCACCTTGGCATCCCAGTGGGGACCTGTTTTTTATAGAGTAGTATCTTGCCAACCCAACTAGGTGATGAATAAGACTAATGGGCAAAGAGCTCATCTCAGGCATCTTGTGAGTTCCCATATCCTGCCCCAGAGCCTAGCACAGGGCCACATAAGTACTAGGGCCTCCCTGAGTGTCTGTGGAGCAGCAGGCCTGAGCCAATATGAATGTTGTACATAGTCAGTGCACAGAAGATAGGCATGTGTGGACTGTAGAGAGCAGTGGCTTAGGAAGCAGGCTGGTATAGCCCCTATCTTTGTCAGCAACTCTCACGTGACTCCAGAAAAGCCCTTTTTACTCCCTGGTCTTAGCTGCTTGAGAGCTGATGACTTGTAAGATCCATTTCAATGCTAAGACTTTATGGTTCATTCGTTTATTCACTGAACACTGTGTGCTAGACACTATGCAGCTGTAATTCAGAATGGAGGGTCAAGAGAAAAGGGTATGGAGGAAACTGAGCCTAAAAAGATGAGGTGGGACCAGGAGGTTATATGTGTCTTTATGTGTATCTGCATGGGTAGGATATGTGTATTTGGTCAGACCAAAAAGTAGAGGCAAAAGAAAATGCAGTGCCACTGACATACACACAGAGACACAAACTTAAGAGCAAAACAAAGATTTCTACAAAGCTACTGGATGCTTACAGAAGAAAACTGTCATCTCCAGCCAGAAGAAGATTTTTGGTAAAAGTGACAAGGCTGGGTGTAGAAGACTGAACAGGAACTTGCTTGGGACCTATGTGGAGTGGGGATGGTGATGATTCTAAAAGGCAAACTGTGGCTTGAAAGTACCTGCCATGTTCAGGGACAAAAGACAAACATTCAGTGGGGGTAGGGCAGCTGGGAATAGCAAAGGGATACACAACAGAGTCTAAGAGCATTAAGTCTGACAGCAATGGCTTGCATAACAGCAACTCTCTGAGGCTCCATCCTTACCCTGTGATAGGCGGTCGTTGCTCTCACTGGGTCCCAGTAGCACATCCTGGCTGGGCAGACTCTCTGAGTGATTCAGGCAGGACAGCTCCAGGCTGTCTGTGTTCTCCTTTGAAAGGAATGAGGTCCCAGGGGCGAGAGGGAGGGTCATGGGGCGGGGACTGGTAGCAGGGCATGGTCTGCAGAGACAGGGAAAATGGTGCTGGGAGGAAAATCACCAGGTGAGAGGCGCAAGGCTGCTCCCCACCTCCATGTCCCCTCAGTAGAAGTCAGGTTCCTCACCCTGGGCTTAGGCAGTCTTGGATGTCAGATACCCAGGCCTTCACATGTTGAGCATCAGCTGTCTCCAGGATATACTCTGAGGGGCCTTCCACCTATGGGCACAAGAGGAGGGTCTCACCCAGCACAGAGGTCAGGGAGGAGGCCCACAAGTTAGATCTAGGTCCTGAGTCTTTAATCCACCTCTAATTAGAACAAGACATGTAGGCTATCTAAAAAGAAAACACAGGCTGGGTGCAATGGCTCATGATTGTAATTCTAATACTTTGGGAGGATCACTTGAGACCAGGAGTTCAAGACTAGCTGGAGCAACACAGCAAGACACCATATATTCAAAAAATAGAAAAAGTAGCCTGGCATGGTGGCACATGCCTATAGTCCCAGCTTCTCAGAGAGCTAATGCAGGAGGATCTCTTAAGCTCAGGAGGTGGGAGATTGCAGTGAACTATGATAATGCCACTGCACTCTAGCCTGGGTGACAGAGCAAGAGTGTCTCAAAAAAAAAAAAAAAAAAGAAAGAAAGAAAGAAAGAAAAAGAAAAAAAGAATTAAACTCTTTTGGAGAGGAGGCAATTTTTATTTATTTATTTTTCTTTTGAGATAGAGTCTCTGTCACCCTGGAGTTGAATGCCGTGACATTATAGCTCACAGCAACCTCAAACTTTTGGGCTCAAGAGATCCTCTTGCCTCAGCTTCCTGAGGGACTATAAGGACTTATAGCTGGGACTATAAGGCACCTGCCACAGCACCTGGCTAGTTTTTCTATTTTAGTAGAGATAGTCTCACTCTTGCTCTGGCTGGTCTCAAACTCCACCTGGGTTGGCCTCCCAGAGTGCTAGGATTATAGGCGTTAGCCACTGTGCCTGGGCTATGGAGGCATTGTTTTTAAGAACAGGATCATCTCCCTTTCTACCCACCCTCCAGAAAAGTTACAGCCCCAGGCACATATTCTCAAGGACACTTACCTACCCTATCCCACCAATGTTGCTTACTTAAATGTGCTGAGAGTTTTTTTCCCTAACATAAGAATTCCCAGGGGTTCTCACCTTAACCACAAATGTGTTCTCCCGGTCAGGCATTTCCAAGGCTGTGGTTGTCCGGACATCCGTGATAGTAGAGCAGGGAATGCTGAGTCGGGGCCGAGATGCCTAGGTTGGGAAGGAGAACAAGATCTGGGGTTTGGAGGTATAGGGCCCATCTTTCCCTTCCTTTCAGATGTTTATCTTTCCTTCTAATTCCTAAAGGAGTTGGACAAAGGTAATAACGCTGCTTTCTCAGTCCTGCCCATAGCTGCTAACAGAGCCAGAAGCTAGCTTTAAAAACAAAAAGTAGGGTGGCGCCTGTTGCTCAAGCAGCTAAGGTGCCAGCCACATACAACAGCGCTGGTGAGTTCGAATCTGGCCTGGGACTGCCAATGACAATTACAACCAAAAAATAGCCAGGCATTGTGGTGGGTGCCTGTAGTCCCTACTCAGGAGGCTGAGGCAAAAAAAAACACTTAAGCCCAGGAGTTGGAGGCTGCTGTGAGCTGTGATACCACTGTACTCTACCCAGGGCGATAGCTTGAGGCTCTGTCTCAAAAAAAATAAATGAAAAAAAAAAAAAAGCAAGCAAAGCCACGTGTGGGCTGGTACACCCTACAGCTTCTGTGCAGGACCAAACTACCACCCTGGCTACTCTATCACTAGCCCCCCAGTCACCCACCCTCCTTGGAGCCTCACCTTGGGTGGTACAAAGAACTCCAGACGACTTCCTCCTCCTCCTTCTCCTTCGCTTCGAAGCAGTAATCGACACTTCTGCCACTGAGGTTGCCCTCCTCCTCCTGAGGTAGGCCCAGCTGCTCCCCCTCCCCGACCCACTCCAGTTGGGTCAGGAGCTGCCTCTTCAGCCCCCATGAAACTCAGCAGCTCTTCCCTCTGCACCATCCCTGCTCCATCCTTCAAGGTCCCCCCTCCCCGACTGAGTCTCAGCTTCTCAAAACGGTGAGTCCATCTTTCCCCAGGGGACATTCCATCACTAGCCAGTCCCCTAACAACAGTCCCAGCCCCGCCAGAGGAGTTAGAGTTGCTGTTTCCTCCTAAGACTGGGAGGCCTGATGAGGTTTCCAGGGGCCCAGCTGGGGAGGAAGGGTCAACAGTGCCCCGCCACTGCAGGATGCCACGGACTGAACCTCGGACGGAGCGACCCACTGAGCGCAGGGAGAAGCGTTTCTTTAGCTTCGGCTTTGAGGAGGTTGTAGAGGAGGAAGAGACTGAGGAAGGGAGGGGGCCGGCCAGGTCCTCAGATGATCGAGAAGGGCCCAGCACAGCCAGAGGCCCACCCACCCTGCAGCTCTCAAGGGACAGGTCATGTGAGATCTCGGCACCAGGACTCAGGGGAGCCAGGATGGGTGGTGAGAGGGAGCCAGAGGCTCGGGCCACCTCAGCTTCGAAGTGCTGCAGGAAGAGCTCAGCGAAACGGCGGGAGAAGGCAGCCTCAGCCCCAGGCCCCGCATATTGGGGATGGGAGGCCAGGTAGAGGCGAAAACGGTGGGCAAAATCCAGGGCAGCAGCCCGGGCATGGGACTCACAGAACTCCCGCCAACTAGGGGGAGGGGGTGGCGGCAGCGGGGGAGGGGAGAGGGAGGCCCCATCCTCTGGGGAAGGGGCACCATTCATGATGGCCCCCAGGAGGTGGAGAGGGGGAGCCTGTGGGGAGGGGCAGCAAAGAGGGAAGCGGCCAGAAGACACGGGCTGAGCGGCAACAGCTGCAGAAGAGAGAGGCACATACATGGGGTCACTGCTGAGGTGGGACTAGTGGAGAGTACCACCCCAAGCCAGAGACTTCCTAGGCCAGTTCAGACTCCTCATAAAGCAATGGGGGAATAAAACCAAAGTGCCTTTCCTTCTCCCAAATCCTCACAGCCCACAAGCCCCATTCATTTAGTGCCCCAATGTCTAGCCTGCCCATACACTGCTGTCTTCCCGCTACCACCCCTGGCTTCAGATACAGGAGGGCTGTAGAGCACCTTCCTCCAGAAAAAAAGAATCTTTTCTAGATCACCTCTATGATGGATCATCCAATATTCATTATACACTTCCTATGTGCCATTCTAGAAGATTCCACATGGTTTTCTTACCTTTCCCCGTGAGAGGTTTTAGCAGCCTAACAGCTGAGGAAATTGAAGCTCAGAAAAGTTTAAGAATTCCAAGTCTACTGTTTTTCCCACTGCATAATCCTTGTTACTAGGGAGTAACTGGACCAGCCTCAGCCACAGTGCCTTACTGCCCCAGCTCTAGGGGTGGGAGCAGAGGGAGGTGGGACTACAAAGCTCAGAAACCCTGCCTCCTGCATCTTACCATCTGGGTCTGGTTCTGGTTCGTTAGAGAGAGGTTACCCATTAAGGAGGATGGGTGGATGATGGACTGAAATACCAATTATTTTGAAAGCTGACCCCAGAGTCTAGCACCCAAGCACTGTGAGAAGGAAACCTGGAATAGCTACAGCCCAGTCCACTTCTTTGGTACCCCTTCCACCTGGGGCACAGAGGCAGGGGCACCAGAGAGACTGTGATTTGGGTGAGGACGAGTCTCTGCTGACCACAACATCACAGGGAGCTGGGATCCCAGGATTTTTCACCTTCTTCCCTCACTGAGGAATGTGCCCTAAAGGCTGGCTAGCCTGCTGGTTAAGGCCATAGGTTCTAGAGTCAGACTTAGGCTGAAACCTCAGTTCAGCCACCTATTAGCTATGAGATCTTGACAAATTACATGTCCTCTCTGAGCCTCAGTTTTTGTATCTGTAAAACAGAGTTAACAATCCCCACCTACTACGATTATTGGGAGAATTAAGTGGAATATGTCAGTGCTTGACACAAATTAAGCATGCAATAAATGACTGCCATTATTACTATCTTCATGGGGGAGAAAAGTATTATGGTTCTAATTTTCTAAAAGAGAAATTAGAGAAAGGAAGATCCTTTCCAGGGTCTTACAACTAGAAAGTGGTGGAGCTGGCTATGAAATTTACAACCCACAGTTCTTCTGTTAGTGCTGCTCTTCCATGCTGTACTGGAAGGGGACTAGGGCCAGGATAGCTTAGGAAAGTCTCTCCCCAAACCTCCACAACCTTAGACCCTTGCTCAAACCCACAGCCCGCTGTAAGTCAGTAACCCTTCCCCTCCCACCTTGGCCTAGGCCCTACACATTCAGGTGGACCCAATCACCGGGACAACTCCAAACCAACAAGCTGCCAGGAGATGCCGGAGTCATGGAGCACGGGGGAACCCAGCCAAGAGGTGCAGATACAGCAGAGACCAATCTCCAGCCAGAGGCCACCTCAGCTCACAGAGGCCTACCCAACCCTCTGCACCACAGGCAGACCCAGCCCCCTTCAGGCCCGCTGACCCTGCGGCTCCTAAGCTGGTGACTCAGTTTCCCTTCTGTCAAGCAGGACTCAAACACATTTTCCCAGTGCACCTGCCTCTTGGCTCAGTTCTGATATTCCCGAAGAGCGGGTGGTGGAGGGTGCAGGCTCCGCTCCTGGCTTGGACCCTCCGGGCCCGGTGGTCAATCCACTCCGACCCGACCCTACTCCCTGGACACCTCGCACTCGCCCATTCCCTGGGGCCGCAGCCTCCTCGGAACCAGCCCTGTCTGCTGTACTCTGTGGGACCGAGCGCCCCCTGCCCTGCCCTGCCCTCCACGCCCACCCCCACCGAGGGCTTCTCTCATGCGCCGGGGCCGAGTCGCGGAAAGGGACGAAGCATTTGAAGAAGGGGGGTTCCGGTTCCGGTCCCACCTGCATCTCGGTCCCCGCGGTTAGCTCCGGCGGCGGCGGCAGCTCCCGCTCCCTGCGCCCCCCCCTCCCCGCTCCGCGACTAGCACTCAGCCCGGTTCTGCGCAGGCGTCGGGACACCTTTTTCCTTTGCCGAAGGAAGCGACCATAGAGAGGAGCGGCGAGAGGGAAGGGCACCTTCATACTTACTTCCGCCATATTCTGCACAACGCAGAGCCCTAAGACCTATAGTTATGAATCTCTTAGGGCTTCAGTGACTTCTCTGTTTGCAGCTAAAAGAGACCCTAGAGGCAGCCGTGGGAAGGTGTGAGATCCCACCAGAACGTCCTCCCGAAGGAAACTCGGGACAAAGAAGAGATGTCAACCATAGAAGGGCCACTTTAGGCAACAGACTCCCTAGGCCTGGCTGAAGGCTAGAGTAGCCTCCGAGTACCGGAAACCAGCAAGATGATGCGGCTTTTTGAAGGGACCGCTACAGCCTAGAGCGTCTGGCCCGGCTGCTGAGAGGAACGCGGACACCGCCCCCAAGATCTGGGCCAGGGAAGAAGCGGGTGACCTTGGGGGGAGCCCTGCGGGGAGGCGGAGCCTTACTTAACTTAGGACGTTGGTTTTCTCTAAGGAAAAGGGTAGGCGGTCGAGGAGGTTCCATCTTTGAGAGGGGAAATAAGGATAGGGGACAGAACTAATGAGGTCGATTTTGGATGTGTTTGTGGGACGTCAGGAAGTAGGTGGACATACAAGCCCAGAGCTCAAGAGTGACATCAAGGCCAATTATAGAAATTCAGAACAATTAAGTTAAACAGGGTAGTCAAAATCATGAGCATAGGCTCGGTGCCTGTGGCTCAAGCGGCTAAGGCGCAGCCACATACACCTGAGCTGACGGGTTCGAATCCAACCTGGGCCCGCCAAACAACAATGACGGCTGCAACCAAAAAATAGCCAGGCGTTGTGGCGTGTGCCTGTGGTCCCAGCTGCTTGGGAGGGTGAGGCAAGAGACTCGCTTGAGCCCAGGAGTTGGAGGTTGGAGGTTGCTGTGAGCTGTGATGCCACAGCACTCTTCCCAGGGTGACGGCTTGAGGTTCTGTCTCAAAAAAAAAAAAAAAAATCATGAGCATAATGAGATCCTCTATTAATTCTGTCTCTCATTGACCCAGCTGCAGCTGGCCTAAACAATCCATAATCTATGGCTCAGGTAACTGAAAAGTCCACAGTGGATCAAACTACTTCTAGACAGCTGAATACAGGGGCCAAGATACCAGCAACCTGTAGTTCACCATCTTCGGGTCTGCTTTCCCTATGCAAGTGGCATCACTTTCAGGCAGGCTCTCCTCTCTTAGTGGCAAGATGGCTTTCTATAGCTCCCAATTTAAATCCCAATAGCCTAGCAATTCTATTAGAAGAACAATGCTGCTTTTCTGAAATTCCCAATGAAATTTCCAGAACTGACCATATGATTGAGCCAAGTGTCCCTTCTTGAACCTTACAGAGGCCAGTAATCCGAGAAATGGAGATGGATAAATACCAACTGTCATAAGAATGTTTGTTCAAGGCTGAGGCTGCCAGATGGAGTTGGAAAAATTTGTGGAAAGGCTTGGCCTACCCAATCTTAGCCCCCCCCCCAACTCTAACCAAACTAACCTTAGCTCACAAATGGTTTTTGTTAAGTCTATCACCAGCTTTGCTCATCCCTCTTCCCAGTTCAGAGGAAGATGTCAGTGAAAAGGACCTTATTCCTGTGTTCCTCCCTACTTTCACCCCGCATACCCTCACACCCCCTTGCTTTGTAAGTTGGTCTATAATTGAGAGGGAGACACTGTTGAAAATACAGAAAGGCAAGTGGCTGGTGGTGATGAGTTAGGTTGGAAGTGTTATGTCTAAGCTGTCCAGTAAAACTTTCCTGTGATGACTGAAATGTTCTACATTGGCACTGGCGCTGTCCAGTATTGTAGCCACTAGCCACATAGGCTATTAAGCACTTGAAATGTGGCTAGTATGACTAAAGAACAGAGGGTTTTTTGTTGTTGAGACAGAGTCTAAATTTGTTGCCCTTGGTAGAGTGCTGTGGCATCATAGTTCACAGCAACCACAAACTTGTGAGCTCAAGCAATTCTCTTGCCTCAACCTCCCAAGTAGCTGGGACTACAGGCGCCCACCACAACGCTAGTTTTTAGAGATGGGGACTTGCTCTCACTCAGACTCCTGAGCTCAGCTGATCCACCTGCCTCGGCTTCCCAAAATGCTAGGATTATAGGTGTAAGCCTGTACCTGACCTAAGAACTGAGGTTTTAATTTTAGTTAATTAAAACAGGTAGGGCATGGTGGCTCACATCTGTAATCACAGTACTTTGAAAGGCCAAGGTGGGAAGATCACTTGAGCCTAGGAGTTGAGATGAGCCTGGGCAAGGTAGCAAGACCTTATCTCTGCCAAATAATATTATAAAATAGTGGTGCATGCCTATAGTCCTAGCTATTTGGGAGCCTGAGACAGGAGGATCCTGTGAGCCCAGGAGTTTGAGGCTGCAGTGAGTTATGATCATGCCACTGCACTCCAGCCTGAGTGATAGAGTGAGACCCTATGTCTAAAAATACATAAAATTGGCTCGGCGCCTGTGGCTCAAGCGGCTAAGGCGCCAGCCACAAACACCTAAGGTGGCGGGTTCGAATCCCCAGCCCAGGCCCGCCAAACAACAATGATGGCTGCAACCAAAAAATGGCTGGGCGTTGTGGCGGGCGCCTGTGGTCCCAGCTATTTGGGAGGTGGAGGCAGGAGACTCGCTTGAGCCCAGGAGTTGGAGGTTGCTGTGAGCTGTGATGCCATGGCACTCTACCCAGGGGGATAGTTGAGGCTCCGTCTCATAAAAAAATAAAAATACATAAAATTAAAACAGCCACAGGTACCTAGTGGCTACTAGCCAGGGCAGGAGTTGCTGGAGTTGTCCTTGGACAAGGAGGTGGCGCTGTCCAGCAGAGATGGATTTATAATCTGAGCTACACAAAGCAGTTTAGTGGTGATCAGACAAGGGAAGTAGTTGAAGCCATGCAGGTCTTTAGAGAAGAGAGCCTAGGGCCTGGTCTGGGGAACAATCAACATTTAACAGGTAGGCAAGTTTCCTTGAAAAGTAGAAAGTGTTAAGATGATGTCTTGGGTCAGGGTTCCCAGAAATGCCTTAAGATGAGGATTTGTGTGTAAATGATCTATTAAGAAAGTGCTATCAGGAGAAATCAGTAAGGGAGTGGGAGGAGGAAAGGGAAGGAAAGGAAGCCAAGCAGTATGTGATGTCAGGCAGATAGTAGTTCAGTTTGATCTCACCATGGACCTCTGGATATAAGCATGCCTCAGATTTGTCCAGAAACAAGAGAAGCCGGGCCTTTCATACACAAACATCCCTCAGTCATTGACCAGGGTCTACCACAGCCTGGGAGATATCAGTTCCCAGATACTTGCATCAAGACAAAGCCCTCCAGTAGCCTGATGATGTCCCTAAAAAAGAAAAAAATCTGGAAGTCTTAACCCTTAAAACCACCCACCAAAGACCAGGGAATGTGGAAGTATAGGAGGTGCATGTGTTGGGGGAAATGGGCAAACATGTACACAAATGATAAAAAGGGATCCTTGGGGACCAGAGAAGTGCACTCCCATTGTCTGTTGATTTCATCATTAGTATAGTAATGAGAAAAAAAGATTAAAAAAAAAAGACATTGGTAACTAAGAGATAGCTAAGTCACCTTGGTGAGAGTAACTTTAGAGACATGGTGGTAGGAGAAGCCAAATGGTAGTGGTTTGAAGAGTTAATGGAATTAATGGAAAGCAAGGTAGAAGGAATGTGGCTGAAAAGAGGAGAGAGATAGGGTTGAGAAGGTGGAAAGGTTTACTTTTTTACTTTTATTTTTTTTTTGAGACAGAGTCTCAAGCTTTTGCCCTGGGTAGGGTGCTGTGGCATCACAGCTCACAGCAACCTCAAACTCCTGGGCCCAAGCGATTCTTTTGCCTCAGGCTCCCAAGTAGCTGGGACTACAGGCACCTGCCACAACACCTAGCTATTTTGGGCCTGGGCTGGATTCGAACCTGCCAGTTCCAGTGTGTGGCTGATGACCTAGCTGCCTGAGCTACAGGCATGGAACCTTAATTTTTTTTTTTTTTTTT